AAAAAAATCTCTGTAAGGAAACTTTTTCTGGTGGATGTATGTGTAGTGGTGGAAAAATAAAAAAGTATAGCCCATCATCTAACAAAAAACATATAAATCCAAACTTCAAACTGCAAAAACTATGAAAATGAGCTATACTTTTATAAAAAATAATAGTAATTAAATAAACAAAATAAAACTTAGCATAATACTTTAATTTGAACTTTTGTGTAGTGAGGTACTTGTAGTAATGGTGAACGTAGTCACTGCTTATACATATTACTTCCTATTCATTGTGTAGTAGAAATTGTAGTAGAATATTGCTATAAGTATGACCTAGATTTAGAGAATACAACCATGTAAATGCAAATGACCTGATTTAAGAAATATAACGCTGTAGAAATAATAGCATCGAGCAAGTGAACTTGTGCGTTTTCGTGATCGGCCTCTATCTTATTGCCTGCTGCAGTCGCCAGAAGTGGGATTGATATCCCAAATTTTTTTTAGTGTTTTGCGCCCTCGTACAAATATTTGGAGTGCATAATACCTGCTAAGGTTGCGACAAAATTAAAAAGTTTATAGCGCTCACGGACACAAAGAGAAAAATAACTAACTATTTACGCGTACCAAATTAAAGTCGGCGTGCAAGATGGAGGACACCATTGCGGTAGAAACATACACAACAACACAACTGAAAGAGTGGCTGCAGCGTTTCGAGTCTTAAGACAAGTGGAACGAAGATGGACCTTGTTAAGCGTTTAAACGAAGTTCCCCAAGCGACACGTGGAAATTGCACGATTGCTGCCGAAGAAGCTGGTGTTGGTGAGGCTTCGCTCGGACATGATGACATACGCACACTTAAAGCAGAGCTAAGTAAACTAAAAAATCAATGCGTAATTCTAACGCACCAAAATGAGTTGTTGCTAACCAAAATGCGAACACAGATATGTGAAACTGACGCCGCTGCTACAGAGTTGCCATTCGATGTGGTTAAAGAGTTTTTGCCGGAATTTAATGACGAAGCTGATTTTGAAGTTTGGGTTGAACAGTTTAAAAACTTAACATCGCTTTATGTGTTGGATGAAAATTTGCAACGAGTGCTTTTGATGAACAAACTAAAGTGCAAATCCCGACAATGGCTGCAATCAAAACCGAATTTGGTTACCGAACATGTTGCAGAGTTACTTAAGCAGCTGGCGGAGTTCTTCGAAGTCAAAGAAAATAAAATGATTCTTCGGCGCAAGTTCGAAATGCGTAAATGGATCCACAGTGAATCATTCCTTGATTATTTTAAAGAAAAAACAGCGATGGCAAAGAAGATATCAATTGAGGAGGACGAACTTGTTGACTGCATTATTGAGGGTATCCCGGATGAACAGCTTAGAACACAAGCACACATGCAGTGCTATTTGTCTACAGCCAGCCTGGTGCAAGCATTTTCGAAAATTCAACTAAAGAAGAGCGTGACCTCAGCTAAAGCAGTCCCTACGTCTACAAACGCGAAGGTGCAGAAAGGAACGATGGTAATTCGCTGCTACAACTGCAATTCTTTAGGACATTTCGCCGCAGAATGCAAAAAGCCGAAGCGAGAAATTGGTGCCTGTTTTGCGTGTGGAAGCCTCGAGCATCGTGTTGCAGCTTGTCCTGACAAGAAATCCGCAGTTCAATTTTTGGAAGACAATGAATATGTAAGGTATTTTAACATAAAGTTGATTGATGATAAAAATGTTTGCTTAAATTTAGAATGCCTCATAGACTCCGGCAGCCCAGTGAGTTTCATCAGACGCTCCAGTTTATCGCATAATTTGAGTTTAATTAACAGTGTAATGAAATATGATAATAAATGTTTTTTCGGAATTAATAAAAGCAAACTTAAAGTTTTTGGAAAAGTTCGTTGCCTTGTAAGTGGAATGAAACAAGTTATTGAGATAACTATGCTGGTGGTGGCCGATGAGTCTATGAGCTTCGATGCTATACTCGGAAGAGATTTTTTGAGAGCAGGTAGGCTAAAGTTGTGTAAGATTGAAAATGTTTCGAAAACGATCGTTAATGAAGACTTGTTGAGTGATGAAAATGTTAGCTATAAAAAAAGAATGTGTAGATGCTGGCAAAACTGAAAGTAAAGTTGAAACAGAAAATGAATTTCCGAAATTTTTGAGTACTTTAGAATATGATAAAGAAAATGAATTGGATTTATGTATGGGTGATCAACTGAATTCTAAAGATAGAGGTAAATTGTTAGATATTTTTAAGCAGAAATATGTAAAGCCGAAACGTCCCGACGAACCATTGACAAAGTGCTTTATGAAATTGAATTTAGAAAA